GTATTTCCTGAGATTTAGGCCTTTCTGTGTTTCTGTTCTCCACCCCCATTTCACCCTTTCTGGTCTATATTTATAATCACTCCCTTCTGACACCTTCACCTCCCTTTTCCCTCTTACTTGGTTATTTATGAATGGCAAAATCTTCAGCAAAGTTAAATTCAAGGCTCTGCCTATTACACATCTGCACCATGGCAGCTGGGCAGCTGAGTATAGCTGGAGAAGAAGACAAGCATGCTGATTGGTTTCGCTGTAAATTCATGGCCACTAGCCTTAAGTGGACCCTTTGTGCTGTTCAGCAAGGTTACTAGTCCATTCACTCTCCTGGTTGGTTTGTTTACAAAACGTCCACACCTTCTTTCTCTTCTTTCTCTTGAAATTTCTTCACTGTTTTCCAGCCAAGCTGGTCTGCTTTCTGTTTCTAACGTGTCAAGCACACTCCCACCTGAGGGCCTTGTTATTTATTCTTCCTCCTGCCTGGAGCACCCTGCATCTAAGTGTTTGCTTCCTCACTTCCTTCAAGACATCCTTATCAGTCAGGCCTTCCCAGGCCACTCTATGTAAGGCAGCAAACACATCCCCGTCAGCACTGGCACACCCTGTTCCCTTAGCTTGATGTTTTCTTTGGCAGTTGCCACCATCTGGTATTCTATATATTTTATGTTTGTATATTATTATCCCCCTGCTAGAATGAAAGTTTTATGAAAGCTTGGGATTTTAAAAAATTCTTTTTATTCTTCTATAGCTAGTGCTTAATACAATGCTTGCTAGTATGCCATACAAATTTGTTTCAAGAATGAATGGATAATGAATGCTTGTTGGGTTTTGAGAATCCCCTCTTCCCATTTGCCAAAACCAGCATATTCATAACAATATTTTTTGTATGGTAACCATAGTTTCCAAGCCCAGATTCAATACATGTCATCTAATTGGTGGGGAAAATATCTTTCATTTTGCTCTGTCTTGGGAAATTCAGTGTGCTTATTAAGTATATTCTACCTAGAATCATAGTCTCATAGCATGGAGTCCTCAAAAGAAGCTTAGATGATCGTTTTCCAGTTAGTTTAATGGCCCCGATAGCATATTTGGCTTATCCAAGGTCACTAAACTATGTTTAGTTTAAAATAAGTGTGAGTTGAAGTTGTTGGGTTTTTCAGAGCTCTTGCCTGGCCTTTGTGGAGATACCCAGAAATTATTGGAAACCTCTATGGTAATTATCTGGCCCTGTCTTTTCTACTTAGTGCATACAGCGGCTAGCATATCACCTCATGGGTCCTTCATCATTTCTATCCAGTGAGGCTTGCTTGAATAACTGAGCAGGATTTCTCACCATATGCTAGGTTTATCTTTGTTCTCTCACTTCAAATGTTTTCAAACTTAAGAAGCTGTAAAATAACATGATAATTAAAGCTCATCACTTGTACCAAATCACCTTCTATACCTTCACCCCCACCTATTCAGGGAAATAAACACATACTTGAGTTTATATAGGTAATTACAGTTGTAATCAGATGTCAGTGGAAGAGATCTGACATAGAGATGTTACTTTCTCATAGTCATTGAGCCTAAAGGGCCTTCTGGGTTTATTCACCTGCCTTCAGGCTGTAACTACCTCCAGATTTTCTCCTTTTGTAATGAATGCTTTGGGAATGAGAAATGCATATTCAAATTTGAAAGGTGTATTCTCATTGGTTTTCAGGTTTTTCTAATTCTTGAAATAATGAAAGCATGAATGGTGGAAACATAGGATCCAGAGGGTAAATAAAAGGCTCACAAGTACTCATTAAATTATCTTACTAAAGAATTAATAACCTGGGTTTCTGGGTTCTCAAGTTTGTAGGCATGCTTTCCAAGGGCCAATTTCTTGTTTTCCCTGCAAAAGATGAGGTTAAGCCTCATCATTTTGCAGAATTGTGGGTACGGCTTGAGAAATCTCAGTCCAGGAGACCCTCTCTTTTACAAAACACTGCTCCCACCATGAGTATGTGTCAAGCTCCAGATAATGGCAGTGAAAGGATATTTTCCCAGATTCTCCCACTGGAAGCAAGGCCCTTTTCAATTGTGGTGTTTACACAGTGACATTTAGAGTCTAAATTGTTTCGGTACAGTGAGTGCTTACATCCTTTTGTCCCTGAGAGCACTGACCACAATACCTGGCACGGAGCAGACACTCAGGAAATCATAATCAGCATAGGGCAGATGCTCAGCAAATACTCAGTGACCAAGAAGATCAATGTAAAGTGAATTAGTAAATTAACAACAAAGCAGACATTTCTACCAGGAGTATTTTTACTTTATGGCCAGCTTCTTGACACCATAGGTCATGCCTCCAAATCTGATACGAGTAGTGCAACTTTATGAGTTTCTGGCTATACTTTGAGATCAGCAGCTAGCCCAGTGTGTTGTGCTAGTAGGTGATCAATCAAACTTACTGGACTGAGTTTGTGGGTAAAATGAGAGAAAAGTACCTTGGCTTTCATAACTTTTGAATGCAGTCGTCATCCATATGTTTTAGAATCTGGTGTAGGCTACATAGAATAGTCACAAAGTTCTCTCCAGTGGAGTTTGAGAGAACAGATACATTTTAGTTTAAAATCTTCACAAAAAGCTAACAATCAAAGGAAGCCCTAAAAGCCTTTGAGTGATGAGGCAAAATCAAGAAAGGGGATTTAAGCTTAAAATGTGCCAGGAAGTGAGCAGTGGTTAGACTGCTCAACTGTGCATCAGCAATATGGTTCTTAATCTTCACTGCCCATATGATCAGTGGGTTCAAAGAAGTCTCCTTAATTCTGGAATGAAATGTAAGCAGGTTGAACTGGGAAGAAGGTATAACAAATAGGGCCATTGTTTTGGAAACTCTTGTCTCTTAACTGTGTTTTTGAAAGCAGAGAGTGGAAATGCCATGAGGGTCTAGATTATTTCAGCTATCATTAGAAAGAATGGACAACAATTTTTGATAAATACAGATCAGCTGGGATCACAGAATTTTTAAATGCAGACTAGAAGTTGTTCTGGGGTTGTATAGGTTCTCTCAAGTGGTTGAAATAGGAGCAATTAAGACTTTTTTTGTGGAGAGGAAATAAACTCTTACATAGCATCTATAGTAGGAGAGTGAACTATAAATAATCCAGACACTCGAGTTTGCTGTGGTGCTTGAAAGTTTTTAGGGCCTCGTTTCCACTATGATAAATATGATCATTCTCTCACTTGGACGTATATGCACTTTTTTTATGTGGATGGGTGCAATCCCTGCTTTACTGAACGTAGGTTGACAGGTAAAATACTTGATAAAACAAAAATCTCATTAATGTATGCTCCACCAGTTTTGAGGTTTTGATAATTTGGATAGGGATTGAGCAGAAGTTTCATTTAGTATTATTCATAAAGACAGGGTTTGCTGAGCAAGTTAATAACATAGACAAGATTCAGGAAGAATATTTAACTATGCAGGAGAAAAAACTTCCAATCAATTCTTGGACATATGCTTTCTCACATAAACATTTGTAGTGCTAAGTGTTAAGCTATTCATTAACTCAGATTGGTTCACTACAGAGTTATTCAGAAATTTTAAATTTTGAGTGATTAAGTACACCTGATCCTTCCCAGCTGGCTTTGAGTACAGGGAGCTAGCTCAGGTTATGTGGACCCTGTGGCCAGAGCTGGAGTTAGCCAATTCTTCGATACCTGCTTTAAGCAGTGGTAGTTAGGCCCTCACCCCACATGGGGCAGAATGTGTGGACTTATTACCCTGGTGCCACATGAAAGAAAGGAACATAACAGGATTTGGAAGGAGGTAGATTGAACTCTCCATCTGTTATTGGGTTGAGGGCTGCATAGGGCCTCTCACTTTCTTATTCACTTATTGTGCTTGCCTCGTGGGGTCATTCTATGACAGGAGGATTAGCATATTATATATATATATATATATATATATATATACACTTGAGACACTGTTCATTGTGCTCTTCAGCTGTGTACTGAAAGTCTTCCAAGTGTTTAATGATTTCAGTTGAAGTGTGGAAATTAATCAGAATGGAGTCTAGTATTGCAGTGGAAAGAAGATTTAGTGTATGGGAGTAGAGTTTGAGTTCTATCCAGGCATTTCTCTGATAGCTTAAATAATTTTTCTTGATTTTCTTTACAGTAGCGGTCTTGCTTCGGGAATCAAGACTCTGCCTTCATTCAACCGTGGACAGTTCTCGAAGCATATTGGTTTTATCACTAAGATCATTCTACATAGAGAACTAAAGAACTATTTCTTTGGTGTTGTCTCCGGAGGCGAATTGGCCAACAAATTGAAACTTTAAGATTGTCGATAATTCAGGATAAGTGAATTTTATTTGTAAAGAAATCATGGCTGCTGTAATGGTACGTGGTTTTGTCCAAATGTGCAGCCAGAAAACTATGATATCAGATGCGAGAGAAGCATACATTGAAATAGTGGAAAGAGAGAGGAATGTTATATTGATTATCTATTTCAGTGCTGGATCATACATAACTTTTCAGCTAAGTAATAATATTGAAGACATCGTCCTTAGACCCTCTGGAGAAGACCAAAATAATCTGTATTTAAGTTTACAGACTAATGACTTATTGATTATTGAAAAATTATCCTCCAGAGATGCCGAAAATTTGAAGAAGTTCCTGGATAGAGTCCATCCTCAACCACCCGTAAGACCTGATAGGGATGAGAGTATCTTTGCCAGTACAACAACACAGAAGGCAGGTGGCAAAACTGCATCTCACAAAATACGTAAGATGTCAAGTAGTCAGTCATTTGAGAAAGAAAGAAATGAAACAGAAACACCTGATGATAAGGAGATGCCTTTCTGTGCATCAGAATTGTCAACATTTACCTGGGAAGAGTTATTAGAAAATGAATATGGGAAGAGGAGGCCATCATCTGGCTCAGAGATGAATAAGAATTTCCTGCAAGAGGATACCTCTTCCAGAGGAACGGTATCAAAGATGAACCCCTTGAGATATGTAAGCCGCAGAAAGAGAGAATTAATGTTAAAAGGGTTAAAACAGAATAAGAAATTGGAACTTGGACCTTCATTCAAGATCGATTTTACTGGAAAACCTTACCTAGATGTCAGTGATCTTCTCCAAAGAGTGACTGATAAAACATATTTAGCATTCCTGTCAGAGTCGAAGTACGGTGAGGATGACCCAGAGTGGGGCAGACTCAAGATGATCTTTGACTTTTACCCAGAGAAACTATGTCAAGGCTTCCCCAACTTGGGAAACACCTGTTACATGAATGCAGTTTTACAGTCCTTATTTTTGATTCCATCATTTGCTAATGATTTACTCAATCAGACCTTCTCACAGGGTGAAACTCCCCTTGATTCCTTTAGCATACGCTTGGTGCAGCTGCTTGTTTTGAAAGATATTTATAACATAAAAATCAAGAAGAAGTTACTTGGGAATTTTAAAAACGTCATTTCAGCAGTTGCAGAGATATTCTCTGACAACGCACAGAATGATGCATATGAGTTTTTAGGTCATTGTTTAGATCAGATTAGACAAAACATGAGAAAATTAAACACAATTGGGAAGATTAAGATTGAATCTGAGGAAGGAAATTCACCTCAGCAGGTTTCTGCTGGTAGTGCTGACACCAAGGTGCTTGTTTGCCCTGTCGCCAGTAATTTTGATTTCGAGTTGCTGCGCTCAACTAGTTGCAAAGCCTGTGGGCAAATTGTCCTTAAGGCAGAGGCAAACAATTCACTTTCTGTCAGTCTTCCCCAGAGAGCAAAAGCACATCCCTTGTCTATTCAATCTAGTTTTGATCATTTCTTTGAAGCAGAAGAGCTTGAGTATAAATGTGAGACGTGTAAGCACAGGAGTTCTGTTGCAGTGCATAAATTCAGTAGGCTACCCAGGGTCCTTATTGTGCATCTGAAACGCTATAAATTTAGTGAGTTTGGGTCCTTAAGGAAGGATGAGCAAAAAGTCATTATTTCCAAATACTTAAAGTTATCTTCCCATTGCAATGAAACTACTAAACCACCGCTTCCCTTAAGCAAGAATGCACCTCTTAATGATTTCCAAGTCTTAGAAATCTTTAAGAAGATGAACTCTGAAGCCATCAGTTCATCGACAGCTTCAACAAAGCAGACCTCAGAATCCAAGGATTCTTTGGCTCCACACATTAGATCAGAAAAAGAGTCTGAACCACAAAAATGCCAGACTCTTCATAAAGCTTCAAGCTTCAAGCAGCAGCAAAAAGACCTGGGAAAAGATTCTAAACTAAATATAATAGAGTCCACATTGGTAAACTCAAGAAATGAAGCAGCCATTGCAAGAGAGCTATTAGCAGTAGGCTTAACGATGAGTCTGGAAGACAGCTCCCTTCCTCTGAAAGGTACACCCACCAGCAGCCCAGGTACATATCGCAAAGTGGCTAAAAGTCGAAAAGGAAATAAATACAAGAGAACCAAGATATCTGCAGATTTTGAGAGCATGCCTGAGACCACCGAAGAATTTTGTAAAGGTAAAAAACCCAGAATTTCAGAAGAATCTTACCAAGTGCCTGAAGAGACCCAGCAGTGTGGAGGGATAAGACTCTGTGAACAAGACCTTGGTCTTCTATTGATGCGGAGCCTTTCAGGCCCCGATGCCCAGTGGCACAGAGATAAATGCAGACCTACACAATTAAATTTCCAGGGAACCAAGGTGAAGTCCCAAGGTGCCTTGGGTTCCAATAAAGATCCTGGAAAGAAGGGCTCTTCAGGTGTGAAGAAGACAAAATCTTCAGCCAGGAAACCAAAAAGAGAAGCCGAGATGAGAGATAGTCATGACTATCAGCTCATTGGTGTTATCAGCCATATTGGAAAGACGCCTAGCACCGGACACTATATCAGTGATTTCTACAACTTTGAGAGGCAAATGTGGTTCTGTTACAGTGATCTAGATGTATTAAGTATCCAAGAGGCCCCAGTGCAGGAGACTAGGCTTCAAACCGGGTACATCTTCTTTTACATGCACAATGAGATCTTTGAAGAGCTGTTGGAAAGGGAAGAGAGCTCCCAGCCTCATAGCACAGAGGAAGCAGTAGTCAAAGTAGACCCAGAAGTAGTAAAAGAAGTAGCCTCCGGCTCACATACATCTCCTTAACATCTTTGACTATCACTTCCTCCATGGAAGGAAAACTTTGAACTCTAGCTAAACATGAAGAGGCAGTTAGCATCTACAACCAAAATTAAGCAGAAACACTTACTTAGAAATAAATCTCTGTTCTAACCCTGATACAAAAACCTCAACCCCACAGTTCCAGCTGATAAAAATTCATCTCTCCTACTAGACCAGAACTGTGCTTTCCACATTCTAATGCTGTGGACTTTAAGTGTGGTCCTCAAACCAGTACCATAAGGAACAAGGAAGGACTCGTGAGAAATGCAATTTCTTGATTCCACCATGGACCCACTGATTCAGAAACTCTGGGGAGGGAGGCTGCAAACTGATGGAGAAACACTTTTGGTGCTGTTGTATGTTTCAGTTGTTTATGTTTTGTAAAGAGGTTTCATTGCATTTTTTGTTTCTTATATTCATGTATGCTTTTCCTTCGTATACTTATTATGATCAAAACAGGCACACACAATTATTCTTCTGATGAGCATACTCAGTGATTTGATGGGAAAAAATAGTTTCTGAAGTCCTGGCAAAACAAATGAAAAAACCACTTGCTGAGCCCCTGGCAATAAGACAATAGTTGCTGGGGTCCTGGCAATAAATACTAAATGAAGCTGGTAGTTTATGAATCCTCCTGGGCATACATAGATGAGACTGAACACCATATCAAGTCTCCAAATTGTTTGCTAAATTCCTTCCTTTCCTCAATGCCAAAGGAGCTATATACCATCAAGTTTAAACCTTGAGGATAGGGAAGTTGACTTGCCTTCAAGAAATTGAACACCTTTTCCTGTTTGTCTGCTAACAAACAGTTCTTGGTGATCTAAGCCCACCATGCCATTTTGGTCTTATCAGAGGGGCACTTGCATTGCCTAAAAGGAACATTGATTACCAGAACTTCATCTGAAGCCTTGGACAATCTTCACTCAACATTATAAGACTAATTCCAAATTTGTTTACATAACTGTAACTTACAGTATGGTGGCCTTATTCCCTGAATTAATAAACAATGAATGCTTTAAAGTGTACTTGTAGGATTTGAAAGTCTTGTTACTGATTTGATACAATGTCAAAAAACTTGTGCCTGGATATGATCGGATTCTGGTTAAAAGCCTGATGGATCCTGAGGTGGTCATATTCTGTAATTCATGTCATTCAGGGATTTAGTAATTCTGATATTAAGCTCGTGCCTTCTCTGTAATTTAGCCTTTTGCTGTCTTTGAGGCAGTGAGTCTGTAATGCCTTGTACCTTTGTTATTAATAAATGACTTGTACTAAGAGGATTTCTCACATCATATAAAAGGATTGAACGTTCAGTCCCACCTTTACCAAAATGGGCGTGTCCCCTTGTGTATGGGGTACAGTTTTAGTACAGCTGTATTAATCCAAGAGCTTGTTGATGCTCTTAATCCTGAATAGCCTTAAAGAGGTGAACGGGAATTCAGTGGTGTGGGAAAGTTTAAAAATGCCCTCTAGAGATAGGAGGGGGAAGATGGCGGAAGAGTAAGATGCAGAGATCACCTTCCTCCTCACAGATACACCAGAAATACATCAACATATGGAACAACTCCTACAGAACACCTACTGAACGCTAGCAGATCTCAGACCTCCCCAAAGGCAAGAAACTCCCCACGTACCTGGGTAGGGCAAAAGAAAAAAGAATAAACAGACAAAAGAATACAGACGGGACCTGCACCAGTGGGAGGGAGCTGTGAAGGAGGAAAGGTTTCCACACACTAGGAAGCCCCTTCGCGGGCGGAGACTGCGGGTGGCGGAGGGGGAAGCTTCGGAGCCATGGAGGAGAGCACAGCAACAGGGGTGTGGAGGGCAAAGTGGGGAGATTCCCGCACAGAGGATCGGTGCCAACCGGCACTCACCAGCCCGAGAGGCTTGTCTGCTCACCCGCCGGGGTGGGCGGGGCTGGGAGCTGAGGCTCGGGCTTCGGAGCTTAGATCCCAGGGAGAGGACTGGGGTTGGCTGTGTGAACACAGCCTGAAGGGGTTAGTGCACCACGGCTAGCCGGGAGGGAGTCCGGGAAAAGGTCTGGAGCTGCCAAAGAGGCAAGAGACGTTTTCTTCCCTCTTTGTTTCCTGGTGTGCGAGGAGATGGGATTAAGAAGGCTGCTTAAAGGAGCTCCAGAGACAGGCATGAGCCGCGACTAAAAGCGCGGACGCCAGAGACGGGCATGAGACGCTAAGGCTGCTGCTGCCGCCACCAAGAAGCCTGTGTGCGAGCACAGGTCACTATCCACACCCACTTCCGGGGAGCCTGTGCAGCCCGCCACTGCCAGGGTCCCGGGATCCAGGGACAACTTCCCCGGGAGAACGCATGGTGTGACTCAGGCTGGTGCAACGTCACGCCGGCCTCTGCCGCCACAGGCTCGCCCCGCACTCCGTACCCCTCCCTCCCCCTGGCCTGAGTGAGCCAGAGCTCCCGAATCAGCGGCTCCTTTTACCCCGTCCTGTCTGAGCGAAGAACAGATGTCCTCCTGTGACCTACATGCAGAGGCGGGGCCAGATCCAAAGCTGAACCCCGGGAGCTGTGCAAACAAAGAGGAGGAAGGGAAAGCTCTCCCAGCAGCCTCAGGAGAAGCGGATTAACTCTCCACAATCACCTTGATGCACCCTGCATCTGTGGAATACCTGAAGAGACAGCGAATCAACCCAAATTGAGGAGGTGGACTTTGAGAGCAAGATTTATTATTTTTCCCCCTTTCCTCTTTTTGTCAGTGTGTATGTGTATGCTCCTGTGTGAGATTTTGTCTGTATAGCTTTGCTTTCACCATTTGTCCTAGGGTTCTATCCATCCGTTTTTTTTGTTTGTTTGTTTTCTTTAAAAAAATTTTTTTTCTTAATAATTATTTTTTATTTTAATAGCTTTATTTTATTTTATCTTACTTTATTTTAATTTATCCTCTTCCTTCCTTCCTTCATTTCTTTCTTTCTTTCTTTCTTTCTTTCTTTCTTTCTTCTTTTTCTCCCTTTTATTCTGAGAGGTGTGGATGAAAAGGTCTTGGTGCTGCAGCCAGGAGTCAGTGCTGTGCCTCTGAGGTGGGAGAGCCAACTTCAGGACACTGGTCCACAAGAGACCTCCCAGCTCCATAATATCAAATGGCAAAAATCTCCCAGAGATCTCCATCTCAACACCAACACCCAGCTTCACTCAACAACCAGCAAGCTACAGTGC